TGAGTTCTTACAGCAACTTTACAGACTTGGCCTGAAGTGTTGAGCAAAGCACTCAGGCTACATGGGCCTCAGTTTTGTTATCTCTAAAATGGGTGGGCAGAGAACCGGGTATCAAGGAGATACCGGCCCAGAAGGACACTGCTCCCACCAGGGCGTGGCTTTCAGGACAACCCTTGACCCCAGGTTTGCTGTGGGAGTCAAGATACAGGAAACTGACGTTTTGGGCAGAGCAGGCAGCTGTCCCGGGGGAGGGGGAGGTTGGAGCCAGCAGCTGGTGGCCTCTAGGGGATATAGGGAGTGGCAAGTACAGGACAGCAACAGCAGCCCGCCTCCTTTCCCCAGAGCAGCCATGGTGCTGAGTGATCCCCGACAGGGCAGGCTGCACCCCTCAGAGGACAGTCTGGAGAAGCACCTGGACGCCTGGTCGTGGCCTGCTGCAGCTGCGGGGGATACTGTTGGGGATGCTGCTTCTGTCTTCCTGACAGGGTAACCTGACCTGGTCAGGCCAGGCCACCGTCCTCCCAACCCCCCCACCCCCCCCACCCCGTCTCAGGCTGTCAGTTGAGCAAGCTGGCAAGTCACCCAGACTCTTCCTTCCCTGTTGCAATATGTGTGGAGTGAAGGTTAAATGTGCACTTGTTGTGTGACCAAAAAATATGAGCTTGGTAAGCATGTATTATTGTTATTACTAAGATCCAGAACAAATGCAGCCTTTGAAGCTGGGGACCAATGAATCAATGACAAATGATGGGGAGCAGAGAGGCTGCTGTTTCCACCCCTGGCTCCCTGCAATGCCAGCCCCACACTCGTCCTTAATGCCAGTTGCTAAGACCAGGGCTGACCTGTGGTAATGATTTTTCTTCCTCTGGGATTCTAAGGTCTTAGTTTCAATTGAGGCTGGTTCTGTGTCTCTGGAGAACTGACTAACAGAATGGTTGCTCAAAACTGCACAGACCGCTGCGACCCTCCTCACTGGGATATGACTCTGGTTCAAGCCATCATCGTCTCTCCCCTGGAGAGACGGGTTTGGGTTTGCTGCATACCTGGGCTCCCGCTGCAGCCTATTTCCAAGGAGTAGTCAGGGTGACCCCATAAAGCCACAAGTCAGTTATGTGGCCCCCTTCTTTAGTGCCCTCCCTCGGTTCCTGTCTCATTCAGAGTGAGACCTGAAGTCCTTGGACAGCCTGTCCTCCTGTTCCTTTCTGACCTTTCTCTCCCCTTCCTGCTCATTGGACCCAACCACACGCTTCCCCTTGAACATGCCAAGCCAGTTGCATTGTGGAGGCCTTTGCTCTTGCTCCTCTCTCTGTCCCAAAAGCTTTTTGTTCTGGATAATCCACCTGAGCGACCCACAGACTGAGGAAGACAGGAAAAGTAGTGATCTTACCCAGAGTGGACATTCATTTCAGATTTGTCAAACATGTGTCTGGAACAACCCCCTCATATTTACAGATGGCCCGGGGATCCCGTCATAGGTCGGTCTCTATCATTTACGTCATTTATGGTTTCTGTTGCTGCACCTGTGTGAGGTCGATGGGCAGGGGAGTCAAGACACGATGCTAAGTTGGAGTGTTCCTGTCAAAGGCAAGTTAGGACATAGTTTGTCTTCACCATCTGCTTCTTGCTTATCTCCGAGGTTGTGATCATCCGCTTCTATTAATGTCGGAGACTAGCTCCAACTTTTGAGGTGTCTGGAGGCAGCACAGGCAGGACCCTAAGATGGGAAGGCGTCGGCGAGCAGATATTCCAAAAGGGGAGACAGGAGCGGGTGCGAGGAAGACACGGGAGTCTGGATAGGGTGCAAGTCTTCCTGCCATTCCTTCAGCAGGTCTTTATTGATACTGTGTAGCAAGTAGTTAATTGTACTAATGCATAGGGTGAGTTAGTGAGATATCTTCATAAAACATTCTCAAGACAAGGGGAAAAAGCATTCTTTTCTTAACAATTTATGGTATAATAGATTATATGTTTTGTGATAGTTATCATGTATACAGCTGTCTATCACTCAAAGGAAGAGGGATCTGGGAAAGGGTGAGCTTGTTAGCAAAAGGTTGTTAGGAGTCTTGGGGGTAGTAATAAATTGTGTTAGCAGTGTTATCAGTGATTGTCTAAAGAAAAGCTAGTGGCTAATTTAAGGCTAGCAGAGAGTAGTTAGTGCTTGTTTTAAAAAAGACTAAATTAAGAGAAAGTTGACTACACCTGTGTAGTCAAGGTTAAAATTTGTCCGTTATGCCCTGGGAGCCTTATCTGAGGTTTGCCTTTTTATTTAAAGAAACCAAGGAAGCTTCTCAGGAGTTTTTATGTCCTGGGGTCTTATTTTTCCTGGGGTTTGCCTTTTGTCTCAGAAGACAGAGGAATTTCTCCTCCTGGGGCAGCTTGCCTGAACCAGGCAGCCGTCTGTGTGGCTAAGACAATCCAGTTATAAACTGAATGTTGCTCAGAATATTTTGATATTATGTTTATGCAAAAAAGGTAGGTCATAACATAAGTTAGCAGTGGACAGTCTGATTTTTCAGAACTTATCCCAATCCACCTGGAATCTGTCAGACGATGGACATTGCATAGCTTGTGTCATATTAACATCCTAAATCATGCTTTGGTCAGGAAAAAGGCATGGGGTGTATGGTGGGAAGTGGGAACTATAAATAGGTATGCATAGGATACACCCTGCAGGGTTTTTCAGGTGAGAGACCCCTGTATCCCTGCACGCTCATCTGATCCAGCCCTCTTCTCTATATGTGGCCAACTAGCTTTGACTATTCCATATCGGAACACTCAAGCCTTCCTCATGTATCTGTGAAAAGAACCTGTGTATCAGAAAATCTCCTGGACCGTGGAATTAACTAGACTGGTTCAAGTCCCTCATCTGACATCCTTCAGTGGTGGGAACTTTGACAGGTTATATATTCCTCTTGGTTAGTGTCCTCACCTACGAGATAGAGAAGATGATGCTTATATTGTGGAGTTGTTATGGGATTTATATGAATTAATGTGTAGCAAGTGCCTGGCAGGTAACATTCAGTGACTTTGAATCAGGATGAGTCCGCCTGGGAACTGAAGTCTGTCCAGATGTATGATCCAGGCCTGTCCCCTGAGGTCAGAGTGGTGTAGCCACAAGCCAAAGATTCTCCCGAGAAACCAAAAGAGGCAAGGGGCAGATTTTCCCCAAAAGTCTCTGCAGGGAATGTGGCCCTGTTGGTATCTTTATTTTAATGTAGTGAACTGGAGTTTGGACGTTTGCCCTCCAGAAAATAGGAGTGAATATCATGCTGTGATTTTCACTACCAAGTCTGTGGTATTTGGTCAGTGGCCACAGGAAATGAGCACAGTGGGCATTCAGTGACCGGCAGTGGAACTGATACGAGAGCTACATGCAGATATTATGTCCACTTAACTGACACATAAGCCGAGAACTTGATGTACCTGGTCTAAGCGTACTGTCCACATTGACACAAAGAGAGGTCCTGGCCTTTGGCCAATCTCAGCTCTTGCTCCAGAAATCCAGTAATTTTCACCCCAAATGCACCTTAGAACAAAGAAATGTGTGTGTGTGTGCGCGCGCGTGTGCCTATATGTTGTCATTAAAAAAAAAAAAAAAGTTCTAGGTGTTTCTAATCTAGAGCTAAGATTGAAAACTATCTAGGCCAGGTTCTTCATAGAACTGTCTGATTCTCTGAATGATCACTTAGAAGTTGAGTCTGTGAGTGGTTTCAGGGTTTGCAAAGTGCAGTTAACCCTTGAGCAATGTGGGGCTTAGTAATGTTCACACCATCCTCCCCAGCCTGAGGCTAACAAGATCCTGGAAAGTGGAAAGCTCCACCCCTTAAAGCTGTTTCCTCCTCTGAGCATGCAAGTCAGAGGTGAGGTCCAGACCTGGGACTGAGCTGGTACTTGCAGCAGACACTTGTGACTGCTCTGGTGGGCTGCTCACTTTCCCTCATCACTCACTGTTCCTCCCAGGGCAGAGACTTCATCAGCCTGCTTCCCTCCTTAAACAGCTGGTGAGACCCACTGTAAGTCCAGCCCTAGGCCTCTGCAGGACCCAGCCTCAGCCCACACCTTCTTGCTCTTTGCCCACACACCAAGGGTCTCTGCTCTGGGCATTAGGGCCTATTAAGCAATTAGTGACCCCAAAGCTAGGTCTTCACATTGGTCATGCCTCCGCCGAGTCCTGTTTGCCTTCAGCCCACAGTCTTTCTATCTCCCTGGGGACAGCTCACGGCAGGTTTTCTGAAACTCAGACACACTGGCAGCTGCCTCCCCTGCTTCACGGCCTATGCCACATGGCAGAGCGGCCGGGCTGCGGGCACCCGCGCCGCCTGCACGCTCGTAGCCTCAGCATGCTTGGCCCTGCATCCTCTCTCCTGTAAGAAGCTTGCCGACATCCAGGTGATTTCCCAATTCCTGCTGACTGCCGCCTGGGGAGAAGGCAGCTGGGGGTTGCTGTGCGTTCTCCATGAGGTCTTGGCTCACTGAGGCTGCTGGGGTGCAGGGGAGATGATGTGCCCACAGCTCCAGCCGCACCCAGAGAGCTGAGGCAGTGTTTGCAGACAGAGGGGATCCTGGGAGGGGGTGGCTCTCCTGTGGAGGGAGCCAGGGCAGGCCTGGCCAGTGAGGCAGGAGCAAGGGCACAGCCTCATTCCTGGATGCTCCCTGCCCTCCTCCTGACCACCCTCACAAGAAGTAAACTGTGTATCTTGATGCTAGAATGTGAGGAATGTGCCACAGCCTGATAGGCATGAAGCAATCTGCAGAGAGGCAGGGAGGAGCCCTGATCCCTGGTCAGAGGCCTGTCAGTGCAGGGCTATGGGGCCTGCTGGCCAGGGCTGCCCCTCCCATCCTCCCTGGGCCTCCTGCTGCAGCAGGCATATCAAAGGCTGCATTGTGCATTGGGCCGGCCTTGGTCCCTGTGTGCAAAGGAGGAGGCGGGAGGAGGGACACCGTGGCGTGGTGGTGCGGCTGTCCCCTCCCTGTACTCTTCTGGCTGGTGTTCCCAGGGGCCTCCGCCTGGGGAGGATGGTGCACACATGGGTGGCTGCTTCTGCATCCCCAGGGAACAGAGTCTGCCCTGGGGCGCAGGTGAGTCTCGTAGGGGGCCCTGGGCTTTGTCTTGGTCAATGTAGCCAGTCCAGTGAAGGCTCAGGGGTCCGCTGGGTCTGGGAAGCTGCTCTTCCAAAGGTGGGGAGGTAGGTGTTATGCTTTCTGGCTGCCTGTCCTCCCTCCCAAGTTCCTATTTGTCATTCTGGCTTTTAAACTCGGAGTGAAGCTGGGGAAGCCTTTACTTTTTGAGAGAAAGAGGCTTTCAGTTCACTCAGAGTGAGTGCTGTACTTGGTGGCCACTCCCAGGGTGTGACTAAGCCCTTCCTTCCTTTTTTCCCAAGATTCCCTGGGTCAGGAAGAAAGCTCAGGCAGCCAGTTCCTCTGCAGCCCATGGGTGGTCATGAACTTGACCTCAGTCACTCAACCCTGTTTTCGTCAGAGTTGCTGTTACTGGAGAAAAACAAGCCGTTTCCTGTCTCCTACCTCGGCAGTGTGATTTTTGAGGGTATGTCAAGCTGAGGCCATGGAGATCTGTTGCTCTAAGAAATTGTCAAGTCATCTGAGACTGGACTCGAGTGACCAGCCATCCCGGTTTGCTGGGGATGGAGGGCTTCCTCAGGATGTAGTCCGCACTCAAATCAGGACAGTCCCTAGGAAACCGGGGTGGTTGGTCGCCCTCATGCAGGCATCTTGCTTCTTTTCAGAGCGGGACGGAGGTGAGCCCTGTGGCCTGGCATTCGGCGTTCATCAGGACGATCGTGGCTTTGGGAGGGGTGGTTGGGGAAGGACTAGCTTGGGAGGAGGAAGAGCAGTCCCATAAAGAGTCATCCTAACCCTCCTTAGGCTTCTGTGTCTTCCCGGAGCACTGCGGTGGCTCCTGGATAGGGAGGGCGAGAGCCCCCTGGCACCTCTACTTTAGGGGGGGGGCTTCTCCCTGTGGTCTTGTGACCTGGGCCTGACCATGTGGAGACCCTAGAGGTCCTTACGATGAACAGTGAACCTGAAGCCGCCGGGTTCTGCTTTTGTGCTTGGAGTCCTAGCCTAATACTTGGCTCTTCCGGCAGGGAGAGGTGTCCAGACCCTCGACCAAAAATTATTATCAACCCCTCAAACGACATCTTGGCACAGAAGACACCTTTAGCTATGATGCATTTTCCTTTTCCGGATTTTTAAAGTTTTCAGACCTTCTCCCTAAATCCTGTTATCATGGTAACTCATGGGCACAGACATAGCATGGAGCTGGGGAGACATGAAGGATTGCTATTTTGCAAGCTGGGGGCCTGGCTTCTAGAACTGCCTCAGTTTAACCCCCTCTCCCCCCTTGAGTCAGGCATCATCAAAGCCAGATTTGATCTTGGTTCTGTGTGTTGCATTGAGCAATTTATTCTGTGTTTAGCTTCTGTGTTTTAATTTTTTTGTCTGTAGATTTCATGCTATATTCTGCCTTCCTCATCAGGTTATGGTGGGAAATCGTGTGGAACATTTAAGTCAACCTGGCACAGTGAATTACGTATAATCAGTGTTAGCCACATTAACTACATTCCTGTGACCCCAACATGCTATAATCTCTCTAGGTCTGCTCAGCTACAAAATGAGGGGTTTTAACTGAGCCCGTGAGGGTGTCTTACCGGGACTGCTCCTGTTCTCTGAAACCCAGCTTCAGCTGGCACAGCTCTGCTCCCGTTTGACATCCTGTCCTCGCTCCAAAGTGGTTCTTCATCAGAGTGGTTCTTCAGCTCAAAAGGAACCAGACAACCAATCCCTACTGAAGGAGGCACCACAAGTTTCCTATGACCGTCTGCCTCGATTTTATCCTTTCAGCTGGTTTTTGCCATTGAATATTGGTTGATATCCTGGATCTTCATTTTCACCAAGAATAAGGCTTCTGGTTACTTCTCTGTATTAGTCAGAGCTAATATGGGTGTTGTGGGTAGACACAAGGCCAGTCGCTGTATATTCCTTTGTAGGTTCCCTTATTTATCTTAGAGGAAGGGAACCGAGAATGAGGTGACTTAGGTGGTATGGCTCGGGGGCGCCAATTACACCCTGGGCTTCAGTTGTCCTGGCTGCCACCTGGACATAGTGGTGGTGTCTGTTAATCCCTTTAGGGCTTTCCGTTAATCCCTTTAGGGGTTTAGTACATCCGGTTTCTGCTAGTCCCCCAGTGCTTGTGGGCTGTTTCATTGTCAGCAAGTAGGACGCCTCCCACAGCCCTTCTCCTGGGTCCTGACGCGCAGGTGTTGGCAAGGGGCGGTCTGTGCTGTTCCTTGGCTGTGTCTGCCGCTGTGGCTGTTCCAGTAGGAGTGACCAGTGAGGACCGACAGTTCTCAGAGCTGAGGAGGTGCAGAAAAGGCACAGGCTCCTGATAGCACTGGATTCTGGACAGTCGCCCAGCTGCTTGCTGAGGCGTGATATGTGACAGTGTTGGCACTGAGGACCCGAGGCCTGTTGCTTTATCACACGGCCCCTGCCTGTAACATCTGCTCCTCAGGATGTTCTTCATTTGCTCACATAAATCTCCCCTTTGCACATGGTGGAAGGGCAGTTCCTGGTTCCTTGCCATCCCCTCTGGCTGCCTGGACCTGTGAAGATTCTTGTCTTTTAATATCCCACCCTTGCTCACCTCAGATTATAGGGCAAGTCAGGTCTGAGTTTGTTGGTGTCAAAGCTTCCAGAACATCCCCCTTATGGGCAACATTTTCATGAAGAAATTTGGGAGACTGACACTCTTAACCAGAGGACGAGGAGAGACATGTTTGACTATGGGCATAGCTGGGGATTGGAACTTTCTACCTTTCTGGTAAATCTGCAGCATCAGTGTAGTCATAATAGGAGGCCGAGGGTGAGCACCGGTGACAGCGATTGCAGTTGTACATTTGAACTTGAAAAGACTAATGAGGCATTTCAAACACATTTGAGAACATGAGAACAATAGAGCCATCTTCTAACAGTCTAGCAGATTTTTGCTTTATGCCATGCTAGCTTCAGAAGACCTTTATTTTTCTTCCTTTTGCTTTTGAAGAAGTAAAGCAGTACAGGTACAATTGGGGTCACCGGTAATTCTTCCCAATCGCATTCTCCTTTCGCCCTCCATAGAGTTAAACATTTTCGTACACTCAGTGGTTTTGTGATTTTATGACATATGACATATTCATATGCTCATCATCCATTGCAGAGAGTTTATTTAGAAGATTTTAAAGCTTAAGGAAAATACAATTATTAAACACCACCCTCCCATCCCCATGGTCTGAGAAACATCTGTGTAGATAGAATGAGCTGTAGTTCCAATATGACATTTGTCCCAATGAGAACTATGTGAAGCATAAAAACTGCTGGTGGTATGCTTATCAGGTCAAAGGAGGAAAAAATATGCAGGTAGAAAAAAAGTGCTTGGAGGGAATTTAGGGAAACCACAGTTTAGTTTTCTTCTTTAAATTGGGCATAGTGGTGGGTGGGTAGGAGCAAGGGGACTAAGAAAGAAAAAGTGGGAATGAATCTTCATTCCTGGAGCATTTTTGTGAGTGAGATTTTTCCTGCACTGGAGATTTTTTAGACCTTGAAGTTCTGAGGTCAGGCTAGTGCGGTAGAGACAGCAAGGTCTGCCCTCAGTGATCTGGATGGCTGCCACTCTGCTTAACCTATTGTGCAACCTTGGTAAAATCACTGTACCTCTCTGGGCCTTTGTTTCTCAACAGTCAAACTAGGAGTGGAACAAAATGATCTCTCAACTTTTTAAACATTTTTTTTCTGTAATTGTCCCCTCTTTTTCATTTTTATTCCACATATTCAATACGTCAAGATGTCTTCTCTTTTCTTAGTTTCAAGTACATTGTCCTGGCCCTCCCTGGTGGCATAAAGGGTTTAGATGCAGCACTGCAAGCTAGCAGCAGCCGCTTCAATGTGAGTTTGATCCCTGCCCCGGAAGGTGACCTGCATGGCATAGCAGACCTCTCCTGTCTCACCCGCTGCTCCCCTCAGCAGTGTACCTCTTTGATCTGCCTGTTCTGCTCCCCACTCTGTCTGTGGTGAATCCTCTCATCACCCCTGCACCTCTGGCCTGTACTCCAGTTCTGTATGCATAAATAAATGAATCTTTTAAAAATAATAATAAAAAATACATTGTCCCTCGCTCTATGCCCTGGTTTCTCATTGCCATGACCTCAGTACATTCTCTGCATGGATTGTCATGCAGCTTTTCTATTGATTGGCCTTTTTGCCTCTTATCCTTCCTTGCATCTGTATTTTCTGCACCTCTGCACCTCCCCCACCCCCAACCAAGGAGAATTTATACTTCAGTGATTCCCGTGCTCAAGAATGTTCCCAGGCTTCCTGTTGCTTGCTGCGTCCATTCTAAAGCTCCTGCCTGGGTGCTCTTCCTAGCCTGCCCTTCTCATACTCACCAGTGTTAGCCCCACCTCTCAGGACATGCCACTGACCTCTACTGGCTCGTGTGCCTGAAAAGCCTGTTTCCTCCTATCCTGTGGACCTCTCTACTAGTAATCCTGCTTTCTCCCTAGTCACAGAAATCATGCAACAAGGTAAAAATACAACTACAAACTGAAGGCTGATATTTGTAAACCATAGATTGGGTATTTGCATCCAGAACATAAACAAATCCTTATAATGCAGTAACAAGAAGGTAAACAAACCAGTTAAAACAGGGCAGTTTCATTCTAAGAATATAATGGTATTTTAAATATATTATATATTTAATAAAATATAGATAAGCATGTGAAAAAAAGGCTAAATAGCATTAGTCATTAGGGAAATGCAGCTACAAGCTAAAATTGCACAGCTACCAAATGGTCAAAATTAAAAAGGTTGATACAGACAAGTGTTGGTGAGGATGTGGAGCAACTGCCAAATGAAGTAGCCATTTTGAAAAGCACTTGATGGCTTTAAATGTCTCAGTTTTTTGAAATGAGAGTTAATAACTTTTTTTCTGGTCAATAGTAATAAAAATAAAACTAGCTTACACCAAATATAATTTATTGAATTACATTTTCTGATCAATAATAATAATACAAATTAAATTGACT